AGGGTGTGATCAGGTCCTGGTGTCGTCACCATACACTGAAGTTGTCATCAGGTCCTGGTGTCGTCACCATACACCGAGGATGTGATCAGGTCCCGGTGTCTTCGCCATACACCGAGGATGTGATTAGGTCCTGGTGTCGTCGCCATATACCGAGGGTGTGATCGGGTCCCCGCGTCGGCAAAACCATACAACCTTCTGCCTATTGCTAGCCATATGTGGTGTTTCCATCAGGTGCCCCATGACCAAACGCCAGTGACCAGCTGGCAGCGAACCGCCCAGTGCACCTGGTCAGGACGATGTCTGGCAACAGTGCGTCAAAACAGTCTGTTGGCAGGTATGGCAGCAGCTAACTGTACCAATCAACGCGCCAGTTCACAAGTACCCGCTGCATATTACTCAGCCATAAAACAGGCGTACCTGCACCGAGTCGCGGCCCAATTTATCAGCGACAAGCGCGCGTAAATACCTAAACGAACGCGGGGCCTGGCGGCACCCGTCAAGCCTGGCCCCGCGACAACCTAACCCTCGCGCCGGCGGACGTCGACCTCTCCGCCCCGGCCCCGGCTCCGGCTCCGGCTCCGGCTCCGACTCCGGCTCCGGCTCCGACTCCGGCTCCGCCTCAGCTCCGGCTCCGGCTCCGGCTCCGGCTCCGGCTCCGGCTCCGGCTCCGGCCCAGCTCCTGCGCCGGCGCGAGCCCACCCGCTCACCTTGCTTGATGGTGGCCGCGTGCACCAGCAGCCGCTCCTCCAGCTGGCGCTCCATGTCTTGCAGCCGGCCGCTCAGCAGCGCGCTCCAGTCCGGGTCGGTCCGGTTACAGCACGAGCGCACCTGTTTCAGGCTTTCCTGCGAGCAGGCACGGGCACAGGCGTGAGCACGGCACGGCGTGGTGGGCGTCAGGGGATGGGGATCCCGGTCGCATGGCGTCCGCTCGGTCCGGTCCGCTTGATGCCGCGTGGAGCCGCCGGGCTGGCGAGCAGCAGACGACGATTTGTGTACGGACACAAAGCTGGACAACGATGAAGGCCACCGGCCGTTGCAAATTCGCAGATATTATAATGGATAATTATTCCTGGCCCAACCCCAAAGTGCGGAGCAGACCTCACCTGGACCACCAGTAGGAGACGGTTTAGGTCGCTGAACTCTTGCTGCAGCTGGGTCAGTTTGGCGGCGAGCGCGGCGCCGCGCTCCTCGCGCCGGCCAGCGTCCGCCTCCAGCTGAGCCAGTGCCTCGCGGACGGCTTGCAGCTCGGCCAGCCGCGCCGCCAGCTCGGCAGCGCTGGCCGCGCCGGCCGCCTCGCCGTCGGCCCGGCGCTGCTGGTCGGCGTCGGCGCGCTCCTGCAGCTGGCGGCGGACGGCAGCCAGCTCCTGCGTCAGCCGGCCGTCCAGGCCCACCAGCCGCGCCGTCTGGCGCTTCTCGGCCGCCGCCAGCTGGTCGCCGGTGAGCAGCGCCGCCGAGCCGGCCGCCAGCCCCAGCGCGGCGCGCAGGGCGTCCGGCCGCGCCGCCGCCGCCGACGCCGCGCGGCACGCCTGTCGACGGACGCCACCGCAGGTCAGTGTCACGGCCGGTCCGTGTCACGGCCGGTCCGTGTCACGGTCGGTCAGTGTCACGGTCGGTCAGTGTCAAGGACAGCGGCTACCGGCTATCACCAGGCGGAGGCTGGTTAGCGCCAAAGCCAGCCAGGGACAGCGAATACGCGGGCAGGTCACCACCAAAACCGGTCACGGACGGACAGGTCACCACCACAGCTGGTCACGGACGGACAGGTCACCACCACAGCTGGTCACGGACGGACAGGTCGCCACCAAAACCGGTCACGGACGGACAGGTCACCACCACAGCTGGTCACGGACGGACAGGTCACCACCACAGCTGGTCACGGACGGACAGGTCACCACCACAGCTGGTCACGGACGGACAGGTCACCACCAAAACCGGTCACGGACGGACAGGTCACCACCACCACGGCTGGTCACGGACGGACAGGTCACCACCACAGCTGGTCACGGACGGACAGGTCACCACCAAAACCGGTCACGGACGGACACGTCACCACCACAGCTGGTCACGGACGGGCAGGTCACCACAAAAACAGGTCACGGACGGACAGGTCACCACCACAGCTGGTCACGGACGGACAGGTCACCACCACAGCTGGTCACGGACGGACAGGTTACCACAACACTGGTCACGGACGGACAGGTCACCACCACAGCTGGTCACGGACGGACAGGTTACCACAGCTGGTCACGGAACGGACAGGTTACCACAACAGCTGGTCACGGACGGACAGGTCACCACCACAGCTGGTCACGGACGGACAGGTTACCACAACAGCTGGTCACGGACGGACAGGTCACCACCACAGCTGGTCACGGACGGACAGGTCACCACCACAGCTGGTCACGGACGGACAGGTTACCACAACTGGTCACGGACGGACAGGTCACCACCACAGCTGGTCACGGACGGACAGGTTACCACAACAGCTGGTCACGGACGGACAGGTCACCACCACAGCTGGTCACGGACGGACAGGTTACCACAACAGCTGGTCACGGACGGGCAGGTCACCACCACGGCCGGTCACGGACGGCGCACCGCCCGGGTTCACAGAGTGACCTGGCACGGCCCATGGACCCTTGCAGGCGTGATATCGCCAGAGGTTGCTGCTATGCGTGTCAGCGTGTCAATGGGGGGGGGGGGGGCAAAACTATCAACAAGCCTCCGGAGACAAGCAGACTTCACACCGAGCGGCAGCAAGGGCCAGGCAGTCGGGCCGCTGCCGGTCTGATGGCGACACGTGCCGCCGCTGACGACACCTCTGTCTGGTCGGCCGACTCACCTGGAAGTCCGTCTGCAGCAGAGCCAGCTTGGCCTGCAGCTGCTCCAGCTGCGTGTACACGGCCGCCAGCGACTGGTCGGGCGCGGCGGCCGCGGCCGGGGCCGGGGCCGGGGCCGCGGCCGGCGGCGACACGAACACTGGCTCCGTGATCGGGGCGGCCACCGGCGCCGGCGCCAGAGCCGAGCTGCCCAGCAGCGCCAGGTAGCCGTACATGCCCTGCGGCACGACAGACCCCAGGTGACCACACACGCGTCAGCCAGCGCCACGTGTCCTGAGGCAGCGGTCTGTGACGCGTCAGCCAGCGCCACGTGTCCTGAGGCAGCAGTCTGTGACGCGTCAGCCAGCGCCACGTGTCCTGAGGCAGCGGTCTGTGACGCGTCAGCCAGCGCCACGTGTCCTGAGGCAGCGGTCTGTGACGCGTCAGCCAGCGCCACGTGTCCTGAGGCAGCAGCCTGTGATGCGTCAGCCAGCATAACGTGTCCTGGACAGCAGTTTGTGACTCGTCAGCCAGTATCATATGTCCCGGACAGAAGTTTGTGCTAAACACTTATGGACATGCACAGTACGGAAAAATGAGGCATACATAAAATGCGCCGCGTGCAGGCATCATCAAAGCATTTCATAACCGTAGAGGCATTTTTTAATATTCTAAAAGCCCTAGCGCACGTTCCGGCAGTCATGGCAATAACATCGCTCCATTCTCCAGAAACAAAAACAGGTTGGCACTGATAAATTATCTGCACCGAAACTCATTTCTTTGAGTTGTTTTCAACGTGTAGCGCTTTGATTGCGATGACACCAGCCCGGGCTAGAACCACCCATATTGACAACAGTGTGTCAAGAAGTGAGCCTACTCAGAGTTTCCCGCCAGCTCAGAACGTAGCTGTCCATCAAAACGCCATGACAAACAGCAATCACATCTCAAACAAATCAGGGAGTGTCGACACCCTGCAGGTCCGTGGGCGGGGCGGGACGAGGCAGCTCGCTACAAAACCCCAGCCGCCGTCGAGCCGAGGGTCAAGAACGCGCCGGCGGCCAGTCATGCTGTTCTCCGTTGTGCTCCTACTCCGCCTTGATCTATGCCTGTGCCTCGGCCAAAAGGTGAGCCTGAATGCGGTCCTCGTGTCAGGCGAGCCGACCGACGGGCCGCCGCCGCTGGCGTTCGAGGAGTCGGGCTTGGCCGAGACGCCGGCTGACTCCGAGCTGCTGGCCACCCTGGCCGGCGCCGACCGGTGCCTGTGCCAGCGGGCGTGCGCTGCGCGGGCCGCGCTGCCTCAGCCTGGGCCACTGCCCGCCGCCAGCGTCCACACCCGGCTGTCGGTTGTACGGCCGGCGGGGCAACCACAAGCAGCCGGCTGTCGGCGCCCGGCTGCGCGCTGCTGCTGCGGAGCCGCGCCGCGCGCCTGCATGACCAGTGCGCCGCCGACGCTGACTGCGCGCGGCTGGCGGCCGGCGCGCGCTGTCTGCAGCGCACGTGCCGCTGCCCACTGCCGCTGCTGGAGGCGGCCGGCGACTGCGTGCCACCCGAGTGGTACGACACGCGTACGGCCAACTGCAGCGGCGAGGCGATCTCCTGTGGCAGCACTGACTACCTAGCGTACGGCATCGTCACAGGCAAGTGGGAGCAAAAGTACCCGCAGTTGCTACAGCTGCGCTGCGTGCGCTTCGGCCCCGCGTTGGAGAAGATCATCACCGTGTCCAGCGGCAACGGCAAGGACAACCACCTGTTCGAGAGCACCGAGGGCGCTATTCACACCATCCGCCTGGCGAGCACCTGCGGCAGTGAGCCGCACTCTGCCGAGGCGCTCGCCGCCCGGCTCGGCCCGGCGCGCGCGCTCGCCGCCGCGGCAGGCGAGGAGCCTGGCGGCGCTCGCCTGCAGCCTGGCCGCCGGCGAGGTGCTGACGGGCATCCACTGGCGCGCCAGCCCGCACGCCATCGCCCTGAGCATCACGTGCCGACGGCTGGAGGGCGACGCCAACTGAGCGGCCACCAACGGCTCGCCGCGGCAGGCGCACCGTTGCGACGACGGCGGCGGGACAGCGCAGACGGCGTCCGCTATGGGCGGGGCAGCGCGGACGGGCGGGGCAGCGCGGACGGCGTCCGCTGTGGGCGACGCACACGACACCCGCGCCGCGAACAGCGGCGAGCGCACGTGACTCAGCCGGGACGCGGCGGGACTGAACGGCGCCGGAACGCTGCGCCCACAGCAGCGCCGACCGAGACCCACGGCCCTGGAAACGCTGGACGGACGCGGCGAAACAGACGCCAGACGCGCGAGGCGTCGGTGAACGGGAAGCCAGAGACAGCGACGGAGCAAGCGCCGATTCAATCGCCCGCTAACCTCGCACACAGCAGAGATCCACCCAAAAGACAACAGCGAGCGACCGCTTCGCCGCAGTGTACCAAGCTAGCGGAACGCCCGGCTTGACACGGAACCTTTCGAATCACTACGACCGCGAGCGGTGCACAGCCAGGAGCGGCGCACACACGTGACGTCAAGCGGACGTCATAATCCCGCCGTCAATAGCATGCGGATGAATGGAGTCCTGGACCCAAGGCATCCACGCCCAATCCACGTTGGAACTCAATACGTCGGGAGAGCCATTTCAAGGCCACACAGGGCTGCGCCCGGACGGTCCACACAATGGCGGGACACACAGCACAGGTAATGTTGCGTTTTTCTTGAGCCTATTTCAAAGCAACTGCTGGTAGAACTTGACGCACGTTTAAGGACGTACCAACGTTGCGGGTAGTCGTTCCCGTCACATACAACGTCACGAGACTGGTGAGTAAACCCTCGCTTTCTCAAGGAGCTTGTTCACCTCTGCTCTGTCAGTGGGCTTCAGAGCCCCCCTCCCCCCCCCCCCCCTCTCCCGAGATCTGGAAACCGGGAGAGCTCCATCTCGCCATCTGGCGGGTGTGGCCGAACAATGCTGAATGTGCCTTTCACATGTCAAATTAGATCGCAGATGCGGATCACCGCGCGTCGGCCCACTCACGCTAGCCGTCTTCACCGTGTTGGTTCCCACGAATGCGGCCGTGTCCTTGAGGACGGCCCAGGCGGTGGTCGGGGCGGCTTTGAGCTGCCGCAGCAGGGCTGACTCGCTAGCCGCCGCCGTCGCCGCCGCCGAGTCGTCCTCGCAGTACAGGCCCCCTGGCGACAGACGCGTGACGTTAGGTCGGCGCCGCCGCTGAGCGCGAGCTGCTGCATCCGTGACACAGAAACAAAATAAAATGAAAAATCGGCACCAGATTGGTTCTTAGCTGCCATGCATCTGACATGCCAGTGCGCGTGCGGACACCTGGCTTCACTTTCCAAGGCGCGTCGCGTCTTTGCGCAGTTCTCACTCGCTTCGTGTGTGCCTCGTCGCTGATGTACGCGCGACATAGCCGTCGGTACTGTAACACCAATACAGCGGGCCATGGTACGGGGATCAGCAGGCGCGGGCGGTGCACTCACAAAACAGCGGGATGAGCAGCAGGAGCAGCAGCAACAGCAGCGGCAGCAGACACAGGCAGAGTCTCCGCCGGCCGCCACGGCCGGCCGCAGCGTCCGTCAGCAAGGAGCCGAACCCACCGGCGCCCGGCTGCCGCTTCCCGGCCGCAGAGCGCCGAGAGCCGGCCGCGCCGGGCCATACAGTGCGCCAGACACTACGGCCGGCTCCCGCCGCCGCCGCGCCGGTCCACTGCAGCCCGGTGCCGACAGCCAGCGCCGGGTTCAGGTAGTCGCTGGTGGTGCTGACGGCACTGGTGACGGTGCGCCAGCCGGACCGCACCATCGGCGCCGGGTTCAGGAAGTCGCTGGTGGTGGTGACGGCACTGGTGACGGTGCGCCAGCCGGACCGCACCACCGGCGCCGGGTTCAGGTAGTCGACCGTGGTGGTGGTGACGGTGTAGAGGGCGCTGCAGCCGGCGGCCAGGCCGCGGCCGGCGGCGCGGACCCACGTGACCGGGTTGAGACAGTGCATGACGGCTGACGAGCGGCGCGGGAGGTCGGCTGCCTCGCTGGTGGCGCGCGCCCAGGCCGACACGCGGCTGGACGCGGCCGTGTAGCCGACGGCAGCCAGCCGCACGGGATTCAGGTACCACACCACGGCCGCCGCCGTGCTGGCGACGGCGACGACGGCGGAGGCGACGCGGCGCCCGGCGCGGCGCGGCAGCGAGAGCCGCTCCGGCGCCGGCCCCTGCGCCGCCGCGCCGCGCCGCAGCCAGTAGTGCGACTCGGTCAGGCCGGACGCCGTCCGCGCGGCCGGCGGCTGGCTCAGGCCGCGCATCCAGCGCCGGTAGTCGACCGTGTCGGCGGCGGGAGCGGCGGCGAGTGCGGCGTCGGGTGTCGGTGGCCTGTGCTGGCGCCGGAGCAGCCGGCGGCCGGCGCCGCTCGCCGCCAGCCACAGGTACGTGAACGGGTACAGCAGGGTGGTGACCACCGAGCGGGCGGTCCAGCCTGCAACGGCAGCAGCCAACGTTACAGGGCAGGACGGCTGGCACGCACCCAGAGGCTGACACCAGCTCAACCAGAGCCGTGAATCATGAGCCGGTCACGAGGTAGATCCAAACAGACGCGGCCTTGCAAGTGCTCTTAGACGGTGGCCAATGCGCCGAGGCCGGAAGATCGCAAGAAGTGCTTCAGGAACCTGGTGTTCAGCTCAAACGACGCGTGTGCAGACGCGCCCTAATCTGACAACAGTGCAAAAAGACGAATTCCCCATTAAGGTTACAGATTAAACGTGACAAGTCAATAAACAGCCACGAATAGCCCGGTCAGAACTAGGACAGACACGCAAAACATAACAAGCGCTGTCGCGTGCGGTTGGTGCTCACGGGTCTTTGTCTCGTGCGAGAGATAGCGCCCCGTCGCCAACGACTTGGAGACGTTGTTGTTCTCCATCTCGGCCCACTCCTCGTCTCCCGAGTCGGCGTCCAGGCCTCTGGAGATCTCGTACAACCCTCCTGGAATGATGATGATGATTTGGGTTTTGGGGCGCACCGACTACGTTGGTCATATGGCGCCCATAACCTCCTGGAAGAAGCGAGAGCGGGGCCGCAGGGCGACAGCGCGCCTCTCACCATCTGGGGGCAGCTCTCATCTCATTCAGGCCCGCCACTCTTCGCGACGCGCCACTGCGGCTGTTTGGTCGGGGTGTATTGACACAAGCCCATCAGCTACCCCACTGTTTGTCTTCCATTATGAATAATCCATGGCATCAGAGCTCATGTGGGGCGATCTAATAATCTTACATGATGCAGTACGTCACAGATCAGTGACCGCAGAAGTAAATGCACAACCCTGTAAAAAAACGCAAAAACACGTTTTTCCAGTCTTACAATTTATCGATAGTCTCGGCGGTATGACGTCACAGGCTGCTACCTAAAACTGGAAGCCACCAACGGGCACGTGAATCTCAAACACCTTTCGACTGCCAAAGGCAATTACTGACGGGAGCCACCAGCTGTCAGCCGACTTCTGGCTTCTAAACGTCAGCGAAGCGAGTCGGGCTCGGTCATGGGGATTTTACGCTGACTACGTGGGGATGGAAGGCAGCCCAGTACTGCGAGGGCCGACCGCTGCCCGCACAGTCCAGGGCCAGTCCGTGGTGAACGTCAGGTGACCAGAGGGTGCCAGGCGAGCCCACAGTCGGCAGTCGGTTGGCAGCGAGGACCGGTGCGCAGGCGGCTCGGAGTCATTCGGCAGAGGATGACGGACGGATGGGTGGGGGGCCGCCGTACAGACCGTCCGGAGCCAGTCTGTAGCGGTATGTTCGGCGAGGAGAGGTCCGACGTTGGACTGGTGTCACCCTCGGCTCCGGAGATATGACGGGCGAGGTCGGCACAAGGCGCGCGAGAGATGGGAACGGTCGAGGCGCCCGCCGTCACACGCCCTGTAACGCAGGTCGAGCTGAACACCACGGCGATGGGCGGGGCGACAAGGAGTCGGCGGGTCGGACCTCCCGTCACGACAGGCACGCTAACATTCAAAACAGACGGCGCGCCGGCCACTCCCCACGCCGCCACCTCGCCCCCACAAGCGCTGGCGCGCCGGGGAGCGGAGGGTGCCGACCTTTCGAGGCGGTGGAAACGCTGGTGGTAACGTGCGAGGTGACCTCCCGCCGAAAGCTGCGCACGGCTCTGGAGGACGCCAGCGTATCGAAGCGGTCTGCAAACATCACACATGCGAGTCAGCGGCACGCTTCTCTCGTCGGCTGGTGAGTCGGCGCGGTCGGTTGTGCCGGCTCGCAGCCGCAGCGCACTGCGGCACGCCTCCGTGTTAACCTGGTGTCGATCCGTCTAAACTGGGTCGACGCCATTGTTAGCTCGCACAGCGGCGACCTTCGCCGTCGACGTCCGTAAACAAAACACGAAGACCGTGGCGTAGCCATCCGCAAGCCCGCAGCGGCTGATCTATGCGTGAGGCACACCTCAGGTGGCAGCCAACCAAAGCGTTGCGTGCACGTTTGGGATGCCTGCCAACTGGCAGCCTGACAGACAAATACGCGTCAACTCCCTACTCATCACGCATCGCACTTAAAAAAGCGACAGCACACACAAGTAACACCACAGCGAAGTCCCCAGCCCAGCGGCGCCGAGTACGCCTTCTGAGGCCGCCCGGGTGTCTGCCAGCGTCCGCAGCCGCCCGCTGCCGGCTCACCGAGCGCCGGCGTGCTCCCCGGAGAGTGCAGGCAGCGGCGCGACATGTTAGGCGGCGTCACCCGCTCCGGGCTGATGACGTTGTAGCTGACGCTGCGCGCGTACGTGTAGTCCGTCTTGGGCTTACTCCTGAAACAGCGGCGGGCGTCAGCGGACGGTAATGGCGGGTGCCGGTGCGCTGGGGGCGCCTCCAGATCAGCACCGCAGACTGACTGACGTTCTCCAGAGAAGCTGGACGCCGTTCTAAGGAATCGCGCGATAGTTAGCTGTTAGTGTTTGTAAATCTCTTCTACAAAGAGCCAGGACATTCACACGGCAGTAGCGCATGAAGGAAATATTACCCCATGTTCTACCTCAGCGATGGAAACCTCCCACACTTTATACGGCGCAATAAGTAATAACAAACTAAAACAGAGTACCACTTACCTCATAACACCTGACATTTACACGGGCGTTATCATACAAGCGCCCCCCCCCCCCCCCCTCCCCTGACCCCGCAGTCCCCGTCTGTTGGCCGCCGAACGGGTGACGGGCATCAGCACCGGCGGCCGTGAGGCGGCGCCGCGTACATGAACTCCTCAAACTCCTCGTCGCTGCTGTAGGCCAGGTACTCCTTGAGCGCGGGGTCGATAGCCTGCTGGCCGCTGGTCCGGTGTGACCTGCGGCCGTGGCTGGTGACCTCGGCGGCGCCGGACCGCGCCGCCGGGCGCAGCCGCGGTGCCGACGCCATCGCTACCGACGCCTGCCGACACGGGCCACGCTCTGAGGCGCTCGCACCCTCACCAAGCGGCTAGAGGACGGTGGTCAGCGTCACGTATAAGCATAAGAGAAGCAGACAGAAGGAGAGCACGGTCTGAGAGCAGCGGCGGGGAACGAGAAAAATACCGAAGCAAGAAGGGTTTGGCTAGTAGGCGATATCGTTCGGGACCCGCAAGGGTTTACCGGTATACGACGACCCGGCAGCAATGTTTGAACTCCAAAAAGTACAACAACAAAAAAAAAAAACGCTGGACTCGGCTGCAAGACCGGTAAAAGCTATCACGCAACGACAAGGCACCGCAGCGATGAGCTTTCCGATTTCAGCATTGCTTGTATACTACCTCATCTTCAGAAAGCATGGATAAATTTGTCCGATGAAACCGGATCATACATTTATACCACTAACGGCATTCGCCAGACCTGCGAAAGCATTATGTTGACCAGAGATACAGACAGTCCAGTCTGGTTTGTCGAGCACGGCTTAACGCAAACGGTGGCCACCCTCGGTACCAGTGAGGTCAGAGCAATACGTTCGCAAACAAACGTGCGTGTTTTCGCATAGGCGGTCTCCACTTTGTACGCGTCATCACATTTGCAACATGAGCGCTTGCGAGAGCGTCGGAAAAGCGTCCCCACAAGTGCTGCTCGCGGAGCGTACCGTGCTAGAGGTGGAGACGGTCGAGAGGGCATTGATTTTACTGAGCGTGACAGTCTCTACACTGTTGCTCTTATTAGACGTCCGTCGATTTCTGGAGCTGAAACAGAGCACCGGAAAGGCGTTAGATAAACTACTGCCAAGCATAGATTAGTAAAGCGTCTGATGAAATATTCACAACTTGTGTATAAGCCGTTATGTAGCTAGCGAACGGAGCAACCGCGACCAGCCCAGCCATACGTCGTGAGTGGAAACACCAAGCACACCAGAGTAGCAAGCCATTTCAAGACAGCATCCGACCAGCACATTCCGCCGCAAATTCGCTCGCGTATGGCTGCAATTTCACCCAGCATTATTATTAGACGATAGCGGATGGAGCAGTCCGGTTAGCGTATCCCGCCGCCCCCATCCCCCCCGTCAGCGTGGCATGAATTTGATATCTGCCTTGACCACGGCGCCCGGTGTTTTCCCCGACGTCGACCTTCGTATGACCGCTCGCAGCGTGACGGTCATTCCCAGCCGCCGAGCACGCGAAGCTCCACACACCCTTGTCAGTTGAACCCGACGTGAGACCCCGGCCAACACTACACAAGCGATTCACGAGAGCACGATCGGTGTGGGGCACACTGAAATGGCACCACTCAACGGTTGTTGTTCAGAGGAACACCTGTGCTCGGTACGGATCTGACGCTCCTTACTCATAACAAACGCATCACTGATGACCAGCCCTTTGCCAACGAACAGGAGAAATGTGAGAGCACGTGAGCAAATAATTCAATGCTTTCCACGCTCTTGCAAGACGACTGACGCTGCAATTTGAATGAAAATCGCCGTTATGCCTGACCTTTTGCACGTGTAGCCATTACGACGGGATCCTTGGACAATCTGGGCAGAGCACAGTAATCATGCCATGGGTAAAAGCAGCCTGTAATCATACATCTCCACACTCGCGATAAAAACCGCAGTTCCACAAGCGGACGCCGATAAGCATTGTGCGACAACACGCAGCAGATGCGCCCTATAAACAGAACTGCAAAAACAACTGAAGTGGTAGCACGCCGGCGTTTGAGGGTAGAAAGCTATTTCTGTCTCGGTGTTGTCGGCAAGAACTGACACAAAAACGCCAGCACATTTCTCCCGGTTCGCAGGGGCCATCTCTCACACGCCAGCGGCGTTTGGCAGGCCGACAAACGACACCCAGCCTGCCCACATGTCCCGACAGATGTCGGGCGGCGTCGCCCCGCGATCCTGCCGCCGACGCACACCGCCGACCACGATACTGCTGACACAAAGAACGATCGATACGCACAGTCCAACGTCCTGGTCGCCGGCTCGGTCTGCACCCGGTCCACGTACCCCATCACAGGACCGCGGAGCACCTCAGACTGGTCAGGCCAGCCTGTGGTGACTCGCTACAGGCCGCACCGTTCACTCGGCACCGTCGGCGGCAGCTGGCCGTCGTACTCGAGCGTAGCGGGGGCGGCCCGGGGCAGCGTGCGCCCGCGCGTCACAGCGGCACCGTCGTCGGCGGCGGTGCGCGCCCACCAATGGTCGGTTGGTGGCCCCACCTGGGCCGGCCCGGCAGGGGGAGTTACGCGCGCGCCGGCGGCCATGGCCGCCGGCCAGCACGGCCGTCCGGCCGCTGGCGGCGTCGGCGCTGGCGCCGGCTCAAGACAACGGTCAACGGACCGGCGCGGCGCGAGCGCGGCGGCTCGGCGCGCGCCCGGAGCCGACCAGAGCGTCACCTCTCCTCTGCAGCCCGCCTGGGACCGGCCCGGCCGACAAACATCTTAGAGCTGGTCACCGCTGGGGCCGTACATGACGCAGCTGAATGAGACGCGCAGTGCGACAGGCTCGTCCGGCTGACAGGAGAGCGGCGGCCCGAGCGAGCCCGGCGTGCCACCGGCGATGGAGCCAAACGGCGAAACAGCGCCGCCTGCAGGACCCCCGCCGGGCCGCCGGCAGGGGAGGGGGGCGGGCAGGGCATGCCCCCACCGAGCGTCGCCATGCAGTCCGGTCCGGCGGCCTGCAGCCGCCCAAGGTCGGTTGATCGGGGACGCGGCGTCCACGCCGGCCGGCCGGACCGCCCACAGCCGCCGACCGCCGCCGGAACCGGACGGCGCAGGCCCGGCCGCCGCCGCCGACACGGCAGCTCGGCAGGCGGGCAGCGGAGACGCGACAGTGCGCTGTTGGCTCCGCTCCGCACCTGGCCAACACCTGTCACGTGGCGGCCGAGCGCTTCTGGCACGACCGCGGGATAAGAAAAGGCATGAGTGCTGGGTTTGGCCTTCATTCAAAATGGCTCCTTCTGCCTTCGAAAAATGCTACATCAGAGGCAAAAGATCTTGAAAAAGGCCTCTGCTCCCAACAACACTATCAAAGAGTGACAGGGTCCGACCGCGCACAGCGTACATGGCTCAAACACAACGCAGCCAATACAGGAGAGCCTATAGAGAACGCGCCAGGGTACCGATGGCGCAGTGGTCAACACGTATGCGTTAATACTGCACGTCTGAGAAACCAGAGATACGGGGTTCGATTTCCGCGGTGCCCGTCTTGCCTGCCAGCATGACACGCAGGCGACGCCATAGAGCCTGAGCAGCTGAGTGCGTCGTAAAGCCCCAACGACGACGACAGAACGCGCCAGCCACACCCTACCGTCCACTCTTCCACTTCCAACCATCGAACACGCGACCGCACCCGGTGGTCCGGCTCTCATCGTGCCTGACGCGCGGACTGAATCGAACCTGATACACGCGCCGGATGCGTAACGAACACAGCCGTGCGCCAGACTTGACGAGGCGTCGAGCTCATAAAACGCTCAAGGTCAATCAGTACGGACAGCGCCGGGCCGAGGCCCCGGGTCGGCCAGCGACTGCAATGTGCGCAGCAGGCGACGCCAGGTGAAGGGCAGCGGAACATGGTGGCGGGGGGGGGGGGGGGGGCGGGGTTACAGATCAGCACAAACCGAGACGCCCAGACGGGCGCAGCAGCCCAGACCAGACGACAGGCGTTGAGGGACGGCGTACGGGACGCATTCAACACCGCTTTGACTTCGGCGTCGCCCCGGCCACCCGCATTTCAAGCTCGCCAGCGACTGTCATGTACAGCAACCTCCGTCATCCGCCGCAGAAGTGCTCTCCCCCGCAAACAAGGCGCTCCGTGAGCGACCGCGCTCGACTCGAGCAGCGGCGGCCGGCGTCACCGCCGCGCGAGAGCCGCCGCGCCGCGCTAAGCCGGCGCTGCCGCCGACCGCCGGCCGGCGCACGGCAAACAGCCGCGGCACGCCGGCCGGCGGTGACGTCATCCCCCCCCCACACACACACATACCGGCCGCGCGCCCGGCCCGGGTGACGTCACCAGGGCCGCCCACGCGACGGCCGGCTCTCCGTGCGGACAGGATTGACGTCAGGCGGGCTGGCGAGGGGGCGGGGGGGGGGGGGGGGCAGTACGGCGGCGCGGTGCACCATCCGACGCGGACCACGCACGCCGCAGTTATGGGTCGAGCGGGCCTGCGTATGTGGCAACGCAGACCGGCATGACTAAGCGGAACGGGCCCGCCGCTGGCCCGGTCCCCACTGTATTGCTAAGGCTGCCACGGGCGCCGCGGTCATTCTCCCAGCGCGGGGACCAGCGACCAGCGATAATGCGGTCACGGCACAACGTCATCGCGTGGGGGCCCTCTCACTGGAGCTGATGCGCAGCCGATCAGAAGTGTGTTTGAGGAGCAGGGGCACGTCTTCCCGCCATGTTTGCGGCTAGGGTATGGTCAGATTACTCGCCCCAGCAGCGCGGCCCCAGAGCACGTAACGGGCAGAACCGGACGTGAAGCTTATACCCTTCCGAGCCCCGCAACAGCTCGGTGTCGGACGCCACCTGATACTGGCCCGGTCAACGGAGGCTAACCGAACGGCATCTCCGCGCGGGTGCCGCTGCTGCAGGCCCTGCCTCCCTCGCTCCCTCTCCCGCAGCGGGGTCCGCCTCCCGGGCGACCCTCTGCCCGGCCGCCGGCGGACAGGAGCGTCCCCGGCTCGGCGTCCGTCGCTTGCCGAGAGGTGCCGGACGCCGCCACCGTACCCGGCGACCCGACGCCGGCCAATCCTGACATCCGCCCGAACCGGCCTGTGGCGGAAGGGGGCGCTGCAGGCCTGGGGAGCCGTCACTGATCAGGACGGCTTCAACGGTGTGATCCCGGCAGCGGGAGCCGTCATCGCGGCACGACTCTGCGAGGGTCAACCGCGACCGCCGGCTGTCGGCGTGCACCCTTCAGATTCCGCGCCATCGTGTTAAGGGCGCCTTCGGCTGAATTACAAGGTCGGTCGGACGATTCCTTGTCGAACACTGAACGGATGGCCTTTGCCAGATAAAACCCAGCCATCACACACCCGAACCGACCCAATATTTCACTTCTCCGGAGCATGTTGGAAGCTTGAAATACTATTCTGGCAGCATTATCAAACTGCTAACATCCAATCTCCATCCCGGCATCATCCACTCATCATCTCCAGTCTGTGATCAAACAGCACATCTCCACACGGAACCTCATCCTGGTTCACGAGCGGCGGCGTCCACCCCTCCGTTGAGCCGTACTTCCGGCGCCGGCCGCCGGCGGGCGCCATTTGAGCGGCCTGGCGGGGAGGCCGTCTGTGGAGCGGCGATCAGCCGCCAGCCAGCCGACAGCGGCGGCCGATCTCGGCAGGAGGCCGGCCGATCCAGGGCATCCCGGCCGCCGCCCGCCCGGCCCACTTCGCCCGCGCCGCCGGAGGTAGGCGGCGGGGGCTACGCGTGCGCACGCATAACGGGCTGGCCGGGCTCGGGGCGGGCGAGGGGGCCGGTTCTCGCCGACTCTCCCGGACGCTGGGTGGGGCGTGCGATGCCGCCTGGCGTCAGACGATAGACACTGGTCCGGAGCGCGTCGACCGAGGCGAGCTGTAGCCCCACACGTGGGAGACTCCACCAGCCGCCGGCCGGCCCGCCCCGCCAGCAGGCCAGTCCGAAGCGGCAGCAGTGCGGCGTCGCCGGCCGCACCCGCCCGGCGTCCGCTGGCCGGCGGCCCGTCGGCCGGCGCCGCCGCTCAGCCAGGCGCCTGCACCAGGCCACCGCCGCGCCCTACTGAGCAGTGACTCACCGCGTCGGGCCAACGCTCGGGTCGCGTGTGTTGACAGTGTCACATACACATGACAACACACCGCCGATGGCGCCACCACGCCGGCCGCTCACCGACTCTGCGGTGAACTTACACACAGCGCATGAATCACGGTCGTCGATTCACGGTGGTAGGCAGTCGCCGTTTCACGGTCCCTCGTGGTAGCGTCCACTGCAGAAAGTACGTAGTTGCGGGCGTGAGCTGCGCCAGCCAGGAGTAGGGTATGATTGAGATGGGCGGCAGGGTGATGGAGATTCAAAACTCTAAACGGCATCGCGCGCGGAGCGATCTCCCACCGCATGCCGTTTGGTCGCTGCGCGGTTCGCCGCATGCCGCCGCCCACACCGCATGCCGTGTGATCGCTGCGCGGTTCGTCCCGCCCACACCGCATGCCGTATGGTCGCCGCGCGGTTCGTCTCGCCCACACTGCATGCCGTATGATCGCAGCGTTGTTTGTCCCACCCAACGAGCCGATCCTGCATGTCGTCGCCGTCGCTTGCTGGGCGCATAGTCCTGATACGGCGCACGGACACCTTAACGGTCGATCCTGACTGATACCGGCTTCGCCTCGATCATCCCTCGTGCGCGAGGGCTGCGAATGCTGTCATTCAACACTTGCTATGAATGCGGCCCACCTCACGAAAGTTTGCTGTGCCCTGACAATTGTTAAGTTCCAAAACCCAAACGTCGGTTAGCGCACCTTCACGCAGTACTTCAAGCAGTCTCAAACCCCACACCTTCCTTGGTAACAGTTTGTTCATGTTCCAAATACGTTTGCACGTAGTCGAGTTTCCTGACAGGACAGCAAGTGCAAGAGAACCAGCCTCATCCCACTTCTCGCAGCCGCCAGCGCCCAGCCCGATGGGCAAGCCCGGTTTAGGTCGGACCTCGCGCCACCTCTCATCGCTCCGCCCCCGTCCAGCTCACCCGTCGGTGCCGGTCACTCGTCGCCTCTCCCCCCCCCCCCACGCCCCCTCAGGACTCACCTCCTGGACACGTATCGCGGCGGCGTGGCGGTGCGCTCCCGCACGTACACGTGCTCGGCGCCGTCGCAGTAGCACCCGGCGCCGCCAGGACAGTGCGAGCGCAGAAATGGCTCGTCGCCCATGGTGCCGGCCCGCGTCCGCTCGTCGGGCACTCCGGGTCGGGCAATCACACCCCCGGTCACGCGCGCACTCGGCGCCACGCACAGCACTCCGAGACACTCTCAGACGCTCCCAGAGACAGGGCGGCGCCGCTCACTGCGCGGCACGACTCCGGGTATAACTGAGCGGGAGTCGCGCCGCGCGTCCTCGATGGCGGTTCCAGGTTTGGTCGACAGGTGGCAGCAGCCTCCCGTCAGGACCGACTGCAAGCACGGAGAGGCCGGTCAGCAGAATGTGAAGCGTGGTAACCGTTTGATCGCTGGCCGCATGGGCTCTGTCCGGTGCGAGCCAGTGTACGCTGCCGACAGCTTCCGGCTGCCGTGGCAGTTGAGTGTTCAAGCTGTTGTTCGGCTGGCTGTTCAGTCAGCTCACGGCATGACGCTCAACACGAGGCTCGGAGAAGGCTCGATCGGGTCAGAAAGCCTGTCAATGCTCTCACACGCCTCTTCCACCACGCAACCAAGTGCTACCAAACGTTGATAAACCGTCATCCACAACGAGTCAACCCAATGGTGTGCGCTTGTGCGATAAAAATAAATATCGTCATACAGATAGATCAAAAGGGGCAACGATCCACAGACGCACGAAGCTTGGTGAAAGAGCATGTATCAAACGAAACGAAATTTACTTCATCGCTCATTGCAGCGACCAGGATCGCATTTTTCCGTTTGTCTCAAAGCTTTCCCTTTGTCTCATTTTATTATTTGCAACTGGTGGCACCCAAGATTGACGGATTTCAAGCTGTTGTTCCCTAAATGTCATAAAAATTTCCATCTCGTGTCCCTGCGCATCCTAACCCATGTCATGTATTCTGAACCAAAACATTACCCAAAGTTATCCCACGCCTCATCAAAACTCTACTCCATGAAATCCTGTTCACCACTTCTTCGTGGCAAATTAAGGAACAATTACGTTCCTTGGATACCTCCCTACGCACAATACAATGTCACACAAATTACCGAAAGGCGGACACAGCGAACAAACAGTATTACCAGCTTCTACTGATTTCATATTCTTGCGGTCCTCCTCAACGTCACGTGACTTATACATACCAGGGTGCTTCCCCGCGTTCTATCACATCATTGGCACCTGATACCCACTTCTGGGCCCAAATTTACGTGAATGCTAACATGACCCACACTGCGAGACGGGGCGAAGCGTCGAGCCCAGCAGCGTGACATACCCAACACTGGTGTTTAGCCCGGCCACGTACGCGACGTCTTGTGGCAGTAAGGCAAGCATAGGACGGGTATCAGCTCCCAATAAATTAGCTCGCCTCATTACGCTTATAACAGCTCATCAAAAACTCAAACTACTCTGCATCATCACAGTCCACATCCACAATTTGTCACTGGATGTGAGACGAGCCGACTAGCGTGCTGCCTTAGGGACGCTGTGTTACATATCAGTGCTCTGTTCAATTCGCACACCTAGCCACGCATCGTATCATCATTGGGGCTTTACCACGAACTCAGCTGCTGAGGCCACTGGCGCTGCCTGCCTCTCACCCTGGCACGAAAAGCAGGCGCCACGTGGAATCGAACCCCGTAACCCTGGTTTCCCAGACGTGCACTGGCTGAAGGCAATGCTTCACATTTGAAGATATTGAAGCATGCATACGATATGCGACAAACTCGCTTATGGCTTTAAGTAAGCTTTTTTAAGTGGAAATGACTGCTCTAGACAGCACAGCTCTCTGTTAAGTAAATACGTCCTCAATGCATCATGGTTTGATTATGTCATTGTACCTTGCACAACATTGACTGGGAGCCAATTGACGGCCGTTGTATCTGGAAATCGCGCCCACAAACGCCAAATACGAATGCCTCGATAATCATATTCCCTTGGCCTTGATCGCCGCATGGGTTATGGAATGACAGGATTTGAATGTTGTTATTATTACGTCATGAATGCCAGGGTGACTTTGAAATACTCTCCCCGATACACCTTTCCCCATTTTCGCGGGCGTGTGGCTCAGAAACTAGAAGGACTCGGGTCTAAAGAAGAGCAAGATTGAGAACAGCGCCGAAAGGTCAGTTCAAAACCCCATGTAAATGTGGAACACCCCAGTTAATGCATACTCTTCAATGCTTCTTTCGCCCGCGGATTTATCAGGTACATGCTTACGTAAAGGGACCTAAAATGTTGTGTGCATCTAAAACCAGTAACGTGACATATCGTATCATATCGTATCGTATCATATCGTGACATATCGTGCTCCTTGTCATGTGTGCGGGTGTGGATGCGTGTGTTACATTGGGGAGGCGCGAGGGCTTCAAACACTCCTTCGCCAAAGCATCAATCAGCGGGACATAAAGAACATCCGTGGGCTATCCTAAATCCATTCACGATACCTCACTGGACACTGGGCCACTCGATTAACAACGTGAAATATGTAAACTTCGAGAGTATAGAGCAAAGACGTGGTATATGGGAGGCTCAGAAAGAGGAGGTGAATTTACATGTTGGAAGCATCAAAACTTCAAGAGAAACTGAGCTTAAACCAATAACTAGTGTGCAAAATGTCTTAAAACGTGTGCTTAGCCGGGGCTGTCCCCCAACCAAACGAACCTGTGTCGATTACTTAATTGTGGGAAGTGGAAACAACTGTTTGCCCAAGCTGATACAGGTTTCAATCAAACTGAACCAAAGAAGTGATTTAAGAAGCCTATGAGGAGAGAGAAAGAGAGAGAGAGAGAGAGAGAGAGAGAGAGAGAGAGAGAGAGGAGAGAGAGAGAGAGAGAGAGGAGAGAGAGAGAGAGAGAGAGAGAGGAGAGAGAGAGAGAGAGAGGGCGAGGGCGGGCGGCGTGGGCGAGGGCGAGGGCGAGGGCGAGGGGGCGAGGGGGCGAGGGCGAGGGCGAGGGCAGGGCGAGGGCGAGGGCGAGGGCGAGGGAGGGCGAGGGCGAGGGCGAGGGGCGAGGGCGAGGGCGAGGGCGAGGGCGAGGGCGAGGGCGAGGGCGAGGGCGAGGGCGAGGGCGAGGGGAGGCGAGGGCGAGGGCGAGGGCGAGGGCGAGGGCGAGGGCGAGGGCGAGGGCGAGGGCGAGGGCGAGGGCGAGGGCGAGGGCGAGGGCGAGGGCGAGGGCGAGGGCGAGGGCGAGGGCGAGGGGAGCGAGGGCGAGGGCGAGGGCGAGGGCGAGGAGGGGAGGGCGAGGGCGAGGGCGAGGGCGAGGCGAGGGCGAGGGCGAGGGCGAGGGCGAGGGCGAGGGCGAGGGCGAGGGCGAGGGCGAGGGCGAGGCGAGGGCGGGCGAGGGCGAGGGCGAGGGCGAGGGCGAGGGCGAGGCGAGGGCGAGGGCGAGGGCGAGGGCGAGGGCGAGGGCGAGGGCGAGGGCGAGGGCGAGGCGAGGGCGAGGGCGAGGGCGAGGGCGAGGGCGAGGGCGAGGGCGAGGGCGAGGGCGAGGGCAAGGGAACAAAAGACATATATTATATTGTGTGTGTGTGTGCATATACCCTGCACCTGCTCCACTCCCGCAATGTCAAGAAAAGAAAACAACATTTTTGACACCATCCGCCAAGAGCACTGGTACCAGATTTGCCCGCAGCCTTCAACCAATCTGAGTTGCTCATGGCTTATATTGAACAACACTTACAATATTTGTCGACGAATAGAACAGTAGAACAGTCAACACCAGTCGTGTGACTATTAGGCCTCCTCATTGTCATGCTGGTGTCAGTAAAATAAGCGGTGACCGGGAAACAAGCTACAACCCACTCAATAACAAGATTAATGTTTCAACCAACGCACTTAATTCACGCACTTAGCTGTCACCCCACACCTAAAATACTCCAATGACTTATCGCTTTTGATGCTCCTTGATGTGTCTGGAATGATGCAGTCACTTTGGATTTAAAAAAGAGCTATGGCTGACATTCCTATGGGCAATGGCAGGCACTACAACCTTGGCCCAGCCATAATGCTCATTGTTAGTAATTTCACTCCTCACCCTACACCCCTCATTGTTAGTAATGATACTGCGATGTTGGTTTTTGCTTTGACTACCCTGCTCCTCCAGCATGGTCTAAGACCTTTTCAGCACCAATTTCTGTGGATTTCTTGTTGAAATGTTTTATTTGTCTTTCTAGTTGTTTCCTCAGTGAGGACACAACTATGAAGGTACTTGTGCAAGATTAACATCAAAATGCTTTCATAGGCAGTGTTTCAGTGGTGTGGTTGGAAGTTTAGGCAGTAAACAGTTGCTGTTGATTTCCAGCACACTAGTTCAACTGCTTAATATCATGATTATTGGTGTGTGCCTTGATGGATTCGACACATATAGACACTTCATCGCAAAAAGCTGGCAGACAACCAACATTCACCAGGCTGCATTTTCAGTGGTTCACAAAAAAACAAATACCTGCCGAAGACAGCTACTGCTTCCTTTATCACATGTACTTAGCATGATAAGTGGCATGTGGACCTTTTGGCACTTAATCCATAGGCAATTCATATAGATAATACAAATTATTGTTTTTCACGTACAACATAAGTTAGAGACAGCCCCATAAATTGCATGCCAGACATTTTAATCCAAATGAAATCATTGGGTAGCAGATAGTAATTTGAATCAATGCAAGATGGGCATCAAGTAGCTTTAAGCATTTGTATTGCCACAGATCTCACAGACTTTGGCGGCCTGCTAAACCGCACTTACCAGCGAAACTGGAACTTCTCGCCAAGAACTTTGGGCCTCGGGCGTTTGCGTAGAGGCCTACAGCAACGTCTTCGGTGGCGGTTTTGCTCCACGCGCACCAAATCAAGGCACCAAACCCTCGCTCGGCGGAGACACCGCCTTCGATGCTTGAATCACTAGAAGACAGGGCAGCAGGCCCTCTACTTCCAGGGCCTTAAAGTATCCCATCCCCCACCCACCCAACGCTTCTATTCAAAAACTGCAAAAAATTGGATGGCCTTGTATTGTCAGTCAGCTGGCCTAGTAGGAAACATGTCATGTGGTAGGTAGGTAAACTGTGGTAGGTAAACTAGCAGCTAGTTGAATTGGAATAGTGCCACTA